CAGGATCACACGGCTGTTTTGTGCGAGAGCTTATGCTTTTTCCACTATATCATCATTGTAGCACTAAGAAAATGAGTGTAGGTCACAACAACTCTTACGCTTGTTACTTGGCAAAGTAATGAATCCTATAGGTTTTGCAACTGGCACTTGGCATGTTCTCTCTCAAATTTTTCTCATTTTAATATTAGAAAGAATAATGATCTCCTCAGCCTCTACAATACTGCAGTACAGTAACCAGTTCCTCTATTAATGAACAGGTTAGAACTGTCCGAAGAGTTTTGTGTAGCAAAAGTCAAAGACGACTCTGAGGGCTCAAGCTTGCAGTCCCTGGATGCATTTCCACTGTAAGGAGTGTGAGCTTCAAAACCAGGCTCATTCTTCTTTTCCTCATTAATACAAGATCTCTGGGGCATCATTTTGCAAAGAGACTATTTCTTCTGTGTTGAAAATTAGGAGGCAGGTAGCCTCTCTCCCTTGATACCTCCCTCAAGTATTATAGACAATGCTCTGCTGATGCTATCTGCATACCCAGTCTTGCCACTCATTCATTTCAGAAGGACCTAGACCTATGAAACTGGCAGAGCTTTGCACCAAGGTTTTGTCTGCAGCACCTTCACCATGCTCAGCCTGAAAGCTCTTAAACAAACTCTTAGTTGTTTCCTCAATTAGCATTAGGCTATTAGGTATCTGACACTGATCTTCTAACCCATACACTCAAGTATTTTCCACATTATCAGACTTTTTTCTTTACCTCCTTGCCAATTACTGGCATCTGCATGGGTACACCACTTTAAACATATTGTACAAGTTATTCTTTGTCTCTCAGAATTATTCCTGCTATTGAACAATTCATTCAATATATGCATGCAACATTTATTGTTTCTTCAGCACTTACATTTTTTAAATTATCTTAGATTTTTTTCCATCATCAAATGCCTTTTCTTACCAGCACTTCTGAGATGCTTACTGTTTTTGCATGTATCAGATATGATGGGGTTGTTAATATTTTTTTAAGTAACTCAAAATGAAGCAGAGATACGTGCACCAGACAATGTGAAGCACACCGTGCTGGGGACTCCAGTGGCAACAGTGACTATCAACACCATCTACTGATGGTGCTCAGAGTTGACATACTTTCTTTGGCTTCGGAAGGTTTCTTTGTGCTCGTTTTTTAGTTATTCCAAAGCTCAAAAGCTGAACATTCTTGAATACATGAGTTTTAATAGAAATAATTGGTTAGTTTAACTACCACCCCCAAGGTCAATACTTCTATTCAAATGTATTATCTAAAATATACCGTAAACTCTGAAGCTATTCACGCATACTAAGAACCAGGTCCACACTTATAAAATTCTACTTTTCAAAGTGAACCAAGATTTGCCATCATTCCGAAGTGTTAAGATAATATGAAGAACTTAATCAAGACCTCCATAAAGCTGGTTCGTGTGATACACATGCACGTTCTACAAATCCAGGACATACACCAAGTACAATATAAGGGACTGAAAACAGTTCGGTCCAAAAGGGATTTCCTGTATTAAAAAATAGCCAGATTAATGGACCTAACAGCGACGATTTACAGTGCCAATATCAGACGGAGATAACCTCAGAAATAAAGTTGCCTCTGAGCATTTCCAGAATGAAGTTGAAGGGGCTTCTTGGAGAAGGTACCATGCCCTCTGAAGCTTCCCATATGATGCTGTGTTCCCAGGAATAGACTATTTATTCCTACTAGTAACAAAAGACACAGAGGAAAACTACCCACCTATTTGGATAAAGATTGCTTACAAAGCACTTTCAAGAGCCATACATCATTTGACCTTCGTGTCAACCTCATGAGAGTGTCAGAGTCAGTATCAACCCCGTACCAAAGAGGTAACGTAACCTGCTAAAGGGTAGGAGAGCAAGGACTCAAACTCATGACATCTCCATGTCTAAAGCTTGCTCCTGCCACAGGGCCTCCCAGAGAGAACATATGTATGCTCTCATGCATAGAAGCCTCTGCAATAATCTCCCATCTGCTACATTACAACAGAGACTTCTGCAGCTGCCGAAACCCCAGGGACAGTGTTTCGTATGTGCTTCATATTTCATTCTACTTCATATTTGCTTCACCTAAACATGTAAAGTGTCATGGAATATTTATGCAAAAGCTCCAAAAGAAATAAAAAGAAAACTGGATAGCTAATAACATCCAAAGCTAGTCAACTTCCTGCAGACACCAAGTTAAAAAGATTCTCTCCAATTCAGTGCAGATCCCAATGTGATTCTGGGAGTCTAGCCCATCCAGATTGGCCAAATGAGAGCTTACAAAAAATAATTACTGTTAAACTTAGAAAAACGGCAGTTCAAATCTACATAAGCAACTGAGTTGTAAGAAGATGCTGCTAGCAACATCAGTATCGCATGGTTACAAATTGTATTTCCCCAGAGACTGTGCGCCATATGAGAAAGATTATTCTAATTACATTCATTTTTAAAATTGGTTTGAAAGCCAGCTTTTTCTGGCCTCTAACTTAACAAGTTAATATTCACTTGCTTAAAAGTAGAACTATGCAATTATACAAATGCCAAGCACCTTTTAATTCCGAATAAACCAGAAAGCCCCAATAAACCGAACATTTTTAGCACTTGATTTTTTAAATTTTATTATGGTAAAATATATATGTAACAAAAAATTATCATTTTAACCATTTTTAAGTGTACGATTCAGTGACATTAATTACATTCATCATGTTGCACAACACTACCACTATCTATTTCCATAAGGTTTTCATCACCCCAAAGAGAAACTCACTATTCCTTAAGCAATAACCGCCCATCCTTCCCAACCCTTAATAAACTTTTGTCTCTATGCATTTGCCTACTCTAGCTATTTCACATAAGTGGATCATATAGTATTTGTTCTTTTGTGTCTGACTTATTTCACTTGGCATAACGTTTTCAAGGTCCATCCATATCGTAGCCTGTATGAGAACATCATTTCTCTTTACAGCTGAATAATATTCCATTGTATGTATACACCACTTTTGTTTATCTATTCGTATACTGATTGACACTTGGGTTGTTTCCACTAGCACACAATTTTTATGGTCAAAATTAAAATGATAGATTAACAGGCTAAAATCAAAGATATATTTTTGAAAACAGACTACTAGATTAAATATTTACTATCCTGTTCTCTTACATCTCTTAAATTCATGGCATTTCTTCATAGAACTGTTGGTCAGAAAAATAACCTCCATGAGCACAAAGACCATGATGGTTTAACTCACTGACATCTGGATCCCCAGCAGAAAGAACTGTGCCTGGCACTTAGTAGGGCCTCAACAAATATTCGCTGAAAGAATGAAGGCACTGTAAACCAGTAAAT